TGTTATACAGATAGTGCAAAATAAAGATCTAAACTAAAAGAGACCTAAAGGAAGATAACCCAATCAAAATTGTTACAAGAAGTAATTATTGATTTTTATATTGAGATACAAATCTTTTTGTATCAATTCATATTTATAATAAAAAATAATAATAAAAAGATAATAATATAAAATTATTTTGTTAAAATTAACTTGAATTATTAGTAATATTAGAAGAAAATATTATAGATCAAGTTTATAAAAAACTTTTAGAAAATTATTTAACTTCTTTTATTAAAAGTTTGAATAATAAAAAAATTTATATCTTTTAAGAAGTAAATAAAAATTGAGAAAAGTATTTTAAAAAATTTAATAAATAACATATCTCAAAGAGTTAAAGCTATAATTGATAGTGAAGAAAATTTTATAATATATTAATACTATAAATAAAAACTTCATAATAAGAGAACTTCAAAAATATAAATTTTATTAAAAGTTATTAATATATTTTCTAAGCAAACTTAATTTAAATATTTAATAAAATTTTCAAAATAATATATATCATCAAAAGTGACAGATACTTTTGATAGGAAAGTATATAGTAAAAATTTTTATATTTAAATAAATTCTAATATCTAATAACTTAATTAAATAAGACAGAATTAAAATTTTATTTTGAAAAAATAGTTTATTAATGTTTATCTGAGATACAAATCTTTTTATACCAATTTATAATTATAATAAATAATCTTATATTATTAAATTATTTTCTTGAATTAAATTATAAATATTATAAATTACTTAACAAAATCTGGTATAAATAGATAACAATACTGATAATTTGTACATGTACTATTTTTCTTTTTAGAAAATTAGCCAGCTTAGTCTATTTTCATCATTCAGTAGTCAATAAAATATATAGATTTTTCAGTTATCAACAAGAATGTATAAATTTTTTTATCAAGAAAAATTGAAAAATACACTTTAAACCTAGCTTGAAATCTTAATTAAAAATGAGATTTTAATATTTAAAATTTTTCGAACACAGATGGATCAATATAATTTTTTTTAATTTGTCACTTTATTTATCGCATGAAACTAATATAAGAAAAACAGGAACTATCCAAGACTAAGATATGATAATGTTAAATCAACGTGATTTCGTATTTTTCAACTTAAGTGACAAAAAATTAACATCCTCCTATAAAATCATGCAATCCCCACGGTATTCAATTTGTCTTTGGGCCTCAAGAAATCTCAAATGCTCAGCTAGTTTTCTCTGTTCTTCTTCGGCTAATCTTCTTCTTTCTTCCATTATCCTTTTTTCTTCTTCGGCTAATCTTCTTCTTTCTTCCATTATCCTTTTATTATTCTCCAATTCTTGCTGTATCCTTTCATTTTCTGTCATATAACCACCGATTCGATCATTCATAGCATCCAGGTTTTCAGGTTTATAAATTCCTTGACAGGTTGCCAAATAAATCAAGAGTCTTTTCCGTGACTCTTCACGAGTATCACGGTTCGTGGCAGCTGAACGACCTTTTAATGGAGGATTATCGATATGTATAATCCTGCACGCGCCAAGTATTTTGAAAAGAGATTCATTCTCATTCCGTAATTTTTGTTGATCACAATCACATTCGGTTTGGTCTTCGAAGTCTGGGAAATTAGTTCTTACGATGGTGGTGTATTCGGCAACCCTTTTGTCAAAAATGATAGATTTAAATAACCCAAAAGTATCAACTTCTTCTTTGGTGAATCTCCCATTTGTAACAAATAAAATTTGATTTAAGCCTTCTCTGATGTAATGGCTGGCTTCTGCTATTTTATAAAGAACTTCTTTCTCAGTTAAACCCGTGTCACCGAGTCCTACAGTGTCAATTACTCTGTATTTAATTACTTGGTCACCGCGTGTGTCTATTGTTTCTTCAAATTCTTTTATTTGAATCCTTCGTGTTTCACTGATACTTCCAGCACTTTCCATAAATTCATTAGAATTAGTTAGCACGTTAGCTAACGTTGATTTTCCGTTTCCCGTACGGCCAATTAATATGATATTTCTTATATCAGTCATATTGTTATTTTGTGACTTGAAGTCTTTTGGTGTAAATAAACTGTATTTTATATTTATGCGGAGTTTTGTTCACAAAGCACCGATACGATAAAGTCCCGACCCCTCTTTTAACCTAAAATAAGTAATCTGTTTTTAAATAATATTTCATATTTGTTAAGAAAATTTGGGGTTTTAGATTTTTAGCTATTGACATATTTAATTTAAAAAAGGCGTTTCGTACTCAAAAAAAGGAACTGTATTTCCTATCACAAAGTACACTCAAAATAGGAAATGTCTTTATTTCCTTATTTCCTGTTGCATAGTACATGTACAACATGTCCAAGTGAAACCACGAAATTCAGTATGAATATCTGTTCATACAAACATGCGCTATATCAAAAAAGATCAATGTATGGTTATGAGTTCTCGTAGAAATTAGCCTAACCGCATCTTTGATGGAAAGATCTTTGAACAGTGATTCTTCACGAGTTACACAGGTTCGTGGTAGCTGCGGATTATCGAGATACATAATCATGCTCTTTTCACTCAAATAACTCTAATGAATTGATACAAATTTCACAAATACACCATCGCTACTTTTTATTAGCCAAAGATGATGATTTATTTCGGATTCATTTATGAATTGTTGGAAGATATTACTTTGATTTTAATTAGTAGAATTTTAAATATTAAGCATAAAGCACAAAATAAAAAAAATGCATTTACTAAAACAATTATATTTAAATTAAATAATTCTATAAATAATATATTCATTATTTAACTTAACTAGGATGAAGTTATAATTCCAGTAAGATGAATAAATCATCAGTAAAGGACAAAAATGTAAATAGCATTTGGGAATTGTTTTTTTATTGTTATGCATAAAAATTTTCACGAACATGTACGGAATAGGAAACAACGATATTTCCTATTTTGAAACATCTTGTTTTTATGTCGATATGTATGTTACGCCTCACCGGACCATTCTCATGTGTTCGAATTCGCATGAACCTTAATTCTAACCACCTAGCTCTAATTTAATCGACCTCTGATACACAACATACATGTGCAGTGACTCACTAAAGAAACGGAACGCGGAAAAATATAGCGAGGTTCGAATACCTCACCATTGAAGAATTATCAAAGACCAAAAGAAAGTGGATTTTATTCATTAAAATAATCACAATCCCTTAATACAATTTTTATTTTCATCTATCTTTTGAAACTAAGCTAACTTGAATTTTTAATTTTTTTTAGCGTTCCGTCTATTGTGAGGATAATATTTAAAGGCAAGTTTCTCCTTAAGGAAATATCAGCTATTGTTAAAAAAAACCATATCACACATCGCTAAACTAAGACTACGGTTTTATATATCCACCCCTTGCCTGTATCACGTCATTGACCCTTTTGGCATCGAATTGATCGACCTTTCGCAAAAGTCAATTTCGATGCGCCTCCAAGCAATTTGTAGCTTTCCCCACAAATTGGTTTATTTAAAAGTGGACCAGGAAGATTCCGCAAGCATGTATCAACTTAGTTCTATAAATTTTCGATTGGATTTAAGTCGGGGGACTGGGCGGGCCAATCAAGCAAAGTGATGTCGTTATCCCCGAACCATCGCTTGGCTTTTCCGGAGGTATGTTTTGGGTAGTTGTCTTGCTGAAATATGAAATCACTATCTTCCAGCATTTTCTCATAAATTGTGTCTAAAAAATTGGTATTTAATATATCGACGTAGACATCAGTGTCCATTTTGCCATCGATTTTTCGGAGTTCACTAACTCCGTTGACAGTTAAGCAACCCCAAACCATAATGGAACCTCCACCAAATTTTACGGTTGGAGTAACATGGAAGTCCTTTAATTGTTCACCAGGCTTCTTCCACATTTGTGTCCGTCCGACCCAAATAATTGGAACTTGCTTTCGTCAGACCAAATTATTTTCCGCCAGCCGTCGACCATACAATTTCGGTGTTTTTTTGCCCATTCTAATTGGAGTTTTTTGTGTGTTTTTTTAAGTAATGGCTTTTTTCGCTTAATCCTTGCGAATAAACCATTTCTTATAAACATACGCCATATGCTTTCCACTGAAATTTCGACTCCCAGTTCAGCTTGGAGCTCATGTTGAACTTCGGACGGCGGTAGTGCATTTTCCAGATGATATTAATTGGATGTCATTCCGTTCGTAACGATCCGAAAGAATGCGTGGACGACCGGGTTTTGGTTTATCTTCAAAGTTTCCGGTTTCTTTGTTTTTACAGATGCGTTGGACTGAAGCTAAGCCCACCTGTTCTGATAATGCAATTTTCCGGACCGAATATCCTTCTGGTCGGAGAGTGTATATTCGTGAGCATTATGCGAGGCATTTTAAAATTAAAAAATGGTTAGAATTATTGTTTAGAATAACGAAAGTGTTCTAAAGATATTGTAGTGGAAAAAGAGTACTTTTATACTTATCTTTATAGGCCTGAACTTTTTGTCCAAATCGGCCATATTACACGGAACGCTAAGAAAATTTAAAAACTTGTGAAGTAAAAGATAGATGAAAATAAAATATGCATTAAATAATTGTGATTATTTTAATGAATAAAATCCACTTTCTTTTGGTCTTTGATAATTCTTCACAATGGCGAGGTATTCGAACCTCGCCATTTTTTTTCCGCGTTCCGTTTCTTTAGTGAGTCACTGTATATAAATACAGTGGATTTCTTTTACTACTTAAATAAAACATGGCTGATATAAGAAATATCATATCCGCACGGGTAACGGAAATCAACATTAGCTAACGTGCTGGCAGTATTAGTGAAACACGAGAAATTCAAATAAAAGAATTTGAAGAAGAAATAAACTCGAATGGGGAAGAAGCTATTGAATACAGAGTAATTAGGAATCGGTGATACGCGTTTAACCGAGCAAGGAGTGCTTTATAAAATAGCGGAAGCCTGTCATTACATCAAAGACGGCTTAAATCAAATCTTATTTATTACCAACGGTCGATTCATCAAAGAAGAAATAGATACTTTTGGTTTATTAAAATCAGCCGTTTTCGACGCAGATGTTTCCAAATACACTATCATTGTAAGTACCAATTTTCCTGAATTCGAAGAGAGCTTAAATGTCAGCAAGACCAACAACAATTACGTGCCGAGAATCCTGCTATTTTTAAAATACCAGGATTATTATATATGTCGATAACCCGCCATTAAAAAGTCGTACCGCATCTATAAATCAGGAAATTCGTAAAGATTCAAGAAAAAGACTTCTGGTCCAATTGGCGACCTGTCAAGGAACTTATAGACCCCAAAATCTGGATGCTATGAATGATCGAATCGGTAATTATATGACGGAAAACGAAAAAATACATCAAGAGTTGAAGAATTAGCAGAACAACAGCAAAAATTTTCTCAGGAAGAGAAAAAGAAATTAATAGAGCAAATACGATCTCTTGAGGAACAAGGTAAACAGTTAAAGCATCAAATTGCAAATACTACGGGAGGATTCTTCGCAAATGCTTGATAAAGCGATTGATAACAACTGTCAGATTTCGTGAGCTTTTCCCGTAGCTTGCTAAAGTGCATAAATTTTATAATGTTTTGGTTTTCTATTTCTTTTTTGTATCATTACTCCATAAAATATTAGTTAATACATGTATGTGTAATGTTAAAACTTGAAATGCGCTTAACAATAGATTACACAATAGCAATTACTTTAGGAATGTAGCACATGCTTATTACGAGCAAGTATTTATACTGGATTTTTCATGGTTTCAAAATTGTAGCAGGAAACAAAGACCATTACTATTTTGAGTACCGTAAAACCATCTTGGTCCAATTTTTGAGGGTTGCTCAAATTCAGTTATTTATACCTGAACAAAACAATAAATTTGTCTAGATATTATTTTTAAAAGGAATGACCGATACAAAAAATATTATATTAATTGGCCGTACGGGAAACGGAAAATCAACGTTAGCTAACGTGCTAACTAATTCTAATGAATTTACGGAAAGTGCTGGTAGTACCAGTGAAACGCGAGGGATTCAAATAGAAGAATTCGAAGAAGCAATAGATACAAGCGGGGAGCAAAAAATTAAATACAAAGTAATTGATACTGTAGGAATCGGTGACACCCGTCTAACTACCCAAGGAGTTCTTTACAGGCTAGCAGAAGCTAGTTATCATATCAAAGAAGGCTTAAATCAAATCTTGTTTGTAACCAACGGACGATTCACCAAAGAAGAAATAAATACTTTTGGGTTATTAAAATCTGTTATTTTTGACAAAAGGGTTGCCGAATACACCACCATCGTAAGAACTAATTTCCCAGACTTTGAAGACCAAAACGAATGTGATAATGATCAACAAAAATTACGGAATGAGAATGAATCTCTTTTCAATATACTTGGCGCGTGCAAGATTATATATATCGACAATCCGCCATTAAAAGGTCGTTCAGCTGCCACAAACCGTGATATTCGTGAGGAGTCACGGAAAAGACTCTTGATTTATTTGGCAACCTGCCAAGGAATTTATAAACCTGAAAACCTGGACGCTATGAATGATCGAATCGGTAGTTATATGACAGAAAACGAAAAGATACTGCAAGAGCTGGAGAACCTTAAAAAAGTTTCGGAAGAAGAGAAAAAATTATCTGAAGAAGAAAAGAGAAAACTAACTGAACTTATAAAATCCCTTGAGGCCCAAAGTAAGGATTTACAAAAACAGATCGTTGACGGAGCAGAGCAGAGGACGAGGGGTCGATGTACAATTTTATAGAATGTCAACTTTTTGTCCAAAATATTAAATCACGTGGATCAACATTTATCAAAATACGGGACATATTAGTTTCAAACAGATCCTTTTTTAAATAAATCATTTTTTGATATCCGAAATACTTTTTCTTGTATTCAAATTTGATCGAATGCTTTACTTAAGTTGTGAGAGAAGACTAATAAATGAAGTGTCAAATTATAAGATATTCGGATATTTTATTTAGCAATCATGAAACTTTCAACACAACTTTATAATGCATATTTTCTCTTCATGTATTTAATTAAATATTGTGATGTTGAAATATAATTTATCAGTAATGATGAATTTTTGCTTGAATCTTTTTGATTTATATATTTATTTTATCTATCTTATATTTCTATTAATAAATCTTTAGCAATTTATTATTATATTTTAATATTTATAAATTGTATTGCATTCTTAATGAATTGATAATTGAAAAATATAGCACTATATTTTTACTTTTTGTTTTCTTTATATCTTAATTTCTTGTAAGTTGAATATTTTGACTTAAGCTTGATGAAAATAATTTTAAGTTATCTTTATTTAGTCTTGATCTTAATAAGCTTCAATTGGTAAAATAATTCAAATTTATGAACTTTTTATTTAATAAAATTGAAATTATATTTTATAATTATAAAATAAAAATAATTTACTAAATTCTATTTTTCATAAAAGAAATTAGCTATAAATAAAGCTTTAATATTTAATAAGACTTTTATTTTTGATTATTTAATTAAATAATTTATAATAATAATAATATATTTATTTTTTCTTGTAATTATTTATTAAATCTTAATTAATTTATAAATAAAATTCTATTTTTCATAAAAGAAATTAGTTATAAATAAAGCTTTAATATTTGATAAGACTTTTATTTTTGGTTATTTAATTAAATAATTTATAATAATAATAATAATATATTTATTTTTTCTTGTAATTATTTATTAAATCTTAATTAATTTATAATAATATAATTAGAATTAATATTTAAATTATTGAAAAAAAATCTTGAGCAAAAATAATTTATATATTAAATATTATTAATAATATATTTTAATATTTTATATAATTTAAATAAATTTTTTGATTTTTAAATAATAATTTTGAACTGAATTCAAGATATTTACTTGAATTAATTTAAAAATATAGTTTTTATTTTTCTAAAGTAATATATTTTATTATTCTGAATAAATAAACTCATTATTTAATAAATACTAATTAAAAATTAAAATATAATTTCTGATTTATTTATAATAATATTTTGAAATATAAATTTATTAATAAATCTAAACTATTTATTATATTAAAAATTACTAAATATAATAATATGATCCAGTATAAAAAGATTGATATATCAAATAAATATTAATAGATTATTTTTTCAAAATAAAGTTTTAATTCTGTCTTATTTAATTAAGTTATTAGATATTAGGATTTATTTAAATATAAAAATTTTTATTATATATCTTTTATAAAAAAA